AGGATGTGGAGGCGCAAAGCATGGCCTACCCACAAAAGCCACTGTGACCTTGAAGCGTGGTGTGGGGCCAAGCGGACAGCTCAAGGGCCACAATGAAACTTGATTCAACTATGGCCTGTGGCCTTTGAAACCTAAACACCAAAACTGGTTTCTACATCCAGCTGGCAGCTCTGGCCGGGCATTAGACAGGCTGGCACTGACCAAAATGTATCCGTACTATCAAAAACTGTCAAGCCTCAAAAGTGAACACTCTTAGTTTCCTCTACTTATTCTTGAACAAAATAATACAGTCTTTTGTTTAAATTCCAATTTAAATATAGAAACGTAAGTTCCTGTACAGCTGCTGGTGTTTAGAAAGCATTGAATTTATACAAAGTTTAGCTTATTTCCTAAACAAATGTTCAGCATAAAGAGTTTGTTACGGTAACACTCGTACCAGCATTAATATCCAGCATTGAACAATCCTGCACTTAAGTAGTTAACAGTAGCATTACTACAGTGTAGAAATACATTAGTACAGCGACAGGAAGAAGTTCTGAAAACGGTACTCGAGCTGGTGTAGGGCTTGGTGTTGAACAATAGCAACGTGTACCAGTGATGGAGACTTCATCAATAGTAATAAAAACAAACAGTGAAATAGCATGTTCACTAGTCTCATTTAAATTAATTATGTTCGCTTGTAATAACAAATTCCAACCTCAGGCTCATACACAGTCTAACATTAAATGAATCCATTTGTGTATGTTTTTCCTTGTTAACGTTAATTTGTTTACCTGTGTACATTGATAACGTATTAAGTACGGTGGTTAAAGTCAAAATAACCCTATTTTCTACAGGCTTTACTAAAAATAGCTGAATATAAATGATCAGTAATTATTGACATTGACCAGAAGTTAACATTTTGTCTCCTGCTGCTCTCTATCATCACATATGCCATGTTTCAATACAGCCACATTCAAGATAAACCTCATTTTCATTCATGTTTTTTGGTTTCTTTATCAGACAATGTAAGTGGTTCGAAATTGGACTACAGCTCATAAATACTACCTTAACCAGGTGTCAAGCTGTTGCTGCAGATAAAATAATTACTTTATGATCAATACATTGCCATTGATTATTAAAGGACTGATCACTGAGTAAGATAAAAGCTCATCCACTTATCTACTGCATCACATCTATCACCAACATGAAAATACAGACGCAACTCTTTACACGTTTAAAGTAAAAGTGCTCGGTACAGAAAATGCCCCCTTTGAGTGATATACTACTGGTTATAAAGTTAATAAATAAATGTTAATGATTCATTTTTGTTTAAGTGGAATGTAATAACCTGTTTTAGACAATGTCAGGTTGTTCAGTCTAACAATGTGTTATTTTATAAGCTAGTCGGATGTTTTTAGATTGACTTGATGTTGTCGTAGGAAAACCCACACATAATGCCAAAATATTCAAGAAAGAAAAAGAGAAAGAGAAAAACAGTGATGAAATCAAAATAAAACCTAATTTTAAGATTTTACAAACTGTCTAGCTTCACTTCCGTCATTTATGCTTTGCAACAATGGGTGCCCAAAGTGACGGTTCTGGTATCTGAAGCGACCATCCTACTGCACCAGTCCCCTCCTTTTCCTCTGGCAGATAAGCAACTCAACCACGAGGACAAGACAATCATCAGAGGCTCCACTTCAGAGTAATGTCACGACAGTGCTTCTACGCCATCCCCTCCTCTTCGAAGTGCATTTTTATGTGGTGCACTGAAAGACTTCTCAAGCTTACTTAAATGCTCTTTGGATATTTTTTCACAGCAGGGCAAAAAAAAAAAAAAAAAGTTCTTGCCTGCTGGCCAATGCCAAGGGCAAATATAAATATTTATAACTACAACTCTGAACTGGCTTTCAATTCAACCTAAGCCTCGACTGTGAAGGCATTGTTTAAAACAGCACATCAAAGTTTTTGATGAGAGAGGAAAACCTGACTTAAAAAACAATAACACAACATGACTGAATGTGTAATTTTGCTCTAAGTTTGGTCTTTTTTCCTCAACAAAAACAGAGAAAATGGATTCTATGCTCACTAAACAGTGAATGATGGCCACTTTAACAGACGTCCTGTATAACAGCCACATAATATATGCATGCAGTTATGATACAGAGGTGCAGCAAAGTGTTAATGCAAGAGTGTTAATATGTTGCATGTGAAAAAGGCCCGCTTAAAAAAAAAAGAAAGATGGAATTGGAGGGTGGCAATTGGATTTTGACTGACCTGGATCGCACGTGAGCTTACAAGATTAAAAGCAACTCTTTGCAGAAAATACTTCTTACATAAAAAAAAAAATCACAACCTGAAGTTCACAGGAAAGAAATAAGCTGCTATCCATATTCCTCATTGGTATGATGAACCAGAAACATCAATCATCCCACAACAAGAGGATGTAAAGCAAAGGTTTACTCAATAATTTGAAGGTATTATATAATTACTACTCCGCATCCACGGGACAGCGCAAAGCTGAATGATTCTCAGTAAAGTCCTTCTACACAGGCAAGATTTATGAATCACTGGTAATCGCACAGGTTCATTTCCTGTTTTGTGGAATAAATGTCATTAAGGCTGAATGACATATCACATGTAGCTGCAATCAAGCTCCATAATGCTTCATAATCCCCTAAATGTCGCAGTGCTTATCCTGTCAGAGCTGAATTACAGTGCTCTTCCACAGCAAAATGTGTAGGCCTACAGGTGGAAACAAAAATATACCTCCTGCCCCACCCTAAGAGCTAACTCATAATATTGTGACAGAGCCCTGAAATTGTGAAATTTCACAACACTGAGGTAATTTTTTTTGAGAACATCCACCCATCGAAACTTCACGCAAAGCTCCCACGAGGCGATTTCAAGCTATACTTATTCGTATTTTTAGAAACTGGGCCAATCATGAAAAGTGTGGTGTGAGGATCACTCAAGCTCCACTGCTGAAACACTTTGAGCTTCCCAACGACAGAAATAACTTCTCTTTTCTTAAAATAGGTTGAAGGAGATATGGATGATAACAGCTCTGCCTTTCTCTGTCGTATCGCCAAAGCACACGTTTGTTTTTTTAATTTTACTCTCTCCTCCTCTTCCGCACTCCGACTTTGATGAGATGGTGCGGTTTGACAGCCAGAGACGGCTTGACAGGTTTTTTTTTGTTTTTTTGGGGGGGAGGGAAGAGGTGGACGTGTTCAGGCCTGACGAGCAGAGGTCAAGGTAGGCCTGGAAGAGGAGTCGCATGAGTTTGGAGGCTGTGCAGCTCGAGTTATGCACTTGGATGCTCCTTAATGTGACATGACGACCTCGATGAAGCATGTTGCGGAGCGGCACACAGCCCGAGGTATGCAGTTCAGTGAATCAGACCAGACATTATGAGTCGAGACATAGCAGAGGTTTGTTCGGATGTGACAAGCCAGGTTGTGCATGCCTCCTCTGCAGCCTGGTGATGCTCTGCTCTGACTCGTGAGCTTTCAAACTCCTTCGCTGATGCAAAGTACTGTTTGCACTAATACATATTAGGGATCGAGGGTTTTTCAGGGACGATACCAATGCAGATTACTGGTCATCAAGAAAGACAAATAGCCACTACTTTGAACTGAAATACATCAAATGTTACACTTTAATAGCACTTGATTGCAGGAAACCTGTCATTTATAAGTAGGCTTATTCATTATAGCAATAGGGGTGATGCTATCAGAAAATCACAGAATGCTATAATGTTCTTCTCTGTTTACTGATCAATCGATCAATTGAGATTGAACAGTTTGTCTCTGGCAGTTCTGCTCTGCTGTTCTTTTCTGTTTTATAAATATTTCTGTGCCCACTACGGCCTTCATCTTAAACCATTATGAGTGACTGTTTTAAGGTAATCTGTGGTTGCCTCCTAACTTAGCCGCTAGTGCAGTCTTACTGTAGCCTATTGTAAAAGGAGTTCATTTCCTAGCAAGTGGCGATGGCTTGTGTTTCTGTTGCAAGTTGTATCTTGCTTAGAGAGTCATTGCTGAGACCACAGAGTTACTACAGACAGAGAGAGGCAGACCCAAAGTGGTGCATTTAATTTAGAGGTAATCCTCAATAAGAATAACAACATCGATAATTGGGAAAATGCAAAATATCGGCCCTGATGATCGGTCTGTCCTCAATGCCTGATTCTCATCATCTCTTTTGACAGTCTTTTACAATAATCCATGTTGTAATGAGCTGAATAATCACAACTTGTTGTCCAAGTAACACATTAAAAAAAAAAAAACACCCACAAGACTGAAATGGTATGCTTGGTTACACCCAACATTCAGAGAGAGAGAAAAAGAGGAGAATATTAATCATTACAAAAACTTTGGGAGAGGTTGTTAAAAAGGGGGGAATGCACACACACACACACATATGCAAGGAGAAGGGCTTCAAGAAACACAAAGCAGCCGCTGTGATTTGACAGAGCAGCACACGTTAACGTCAGGGCGACCTAATTCCTGTTGTGGGTCGCCTGAAGCCCCCCTCCTGCTCCGGCTCCTCCACCCAGCCAGCTCCCCTCCCTCCCTCTCTCTCTCTGAACGTGTAATAACAAAGCATTGATCAATAAAGTGTACTTTCCAACGAGCCCCAGCAGCCCGGACCCCCTTTTTTCCCCCTTTTGTGCCAGCGCAACAGCATCTAAGCTAGCCCGGTTCTGACCCCCTGAAATGCCGCCGCTCTCATCTCAAAGCCCCCTTTTTCTTGAGAGCCCCCTTCGCCAAAAAAAAAAAAAAAAATTCCCTCCCTGCCTCCGAGCTACTTCTGAAATGTTCAGGCGTTTACAAGGAGGTGCTGCAACTGCTCCTCCGTGTAACAAGCCCGGGTTTGTCTCCGACACCGTGTAGCCAAAGCGTTGGGGAGGGAGGGGGGACAAAGTGGCTGTTTGTGGGTGTTACAGCAGGAGGAAACACGCTCGTTGTAACAAGTGTGATTCAGCTTTGCGCAACGAAAACAAGAAAACTCACCACCAACTCCTGTAGCTCCCAGAGAAAATCCGAAGTCTGGGGAGGGAAGAGAAGGGAAAAAAAAAAAAAAAAAAACCCGAGTAGGAATTTATCCCCTCTTTCTCTTCCACGTTTTTCAACCCCAGCCCCCTGTCTCCACACCCCAGGAACCGAGAGTGTGAGCGGGGTGGGGGGACCTGGGTGATAGCCGAGGAGGGAAGCACGATCTGGGACACACAGCCAACACTTTCACGGGCAGTTTTATCCGCTAAATCCCGGTGAAGAAGGCAAACCCCCCAGATAAATCAGCGATTCGCCCTCGCGTCTCGTCTCGTCGGAGGGTACTTTCTTTGGCTTCCTGGGTGTTAAATCCCACAGTTTATCCGCTGTATCCGGGCGCGTCGGCCGACTATTCTAGTCCGCCATGTTGTGTGTCTGTCTGCATAGGAAGAATGGGAAGCGAGCAGCGAATTCCCAGGCCAGGCCCCGTCTCTTCTCCGCTCCGCTCCTCCGCAGCCCGCAGCGACACCTGCCGGCCGAGCCGCGCCCTGCACCAGCCACACTGCAGCGGGGACCCACGGAGGGACCCACGGAGGGCCCAGGGGGGCACCTGACAGCCGGAGGACAATTTTAAGGAACTGGAATTAAATATTTCTGTTTTATGCTACTTTATGCCACCAGGTCACTTCATACAGAGGGAAATCTTGGACATTTAGGAAAGTACATTAATAGGGCTACATTCTAAATATACAATTTCCATTTTAAGCTATTTTATACCAGCACTTTAAAAAAAATACTATTTGTTATATTTATCATTATTTAATAGTCAACAATATTTCAGAGGGAATTCTTTTCATTTTTTCTTTTTTCATTTTAAGATATTTTCTACTTCCTCTCCACCAGCTTATTAAAATGTATTATTATCTGTTATTTTTATTATTAAATAGTCAGCAACATATCAGAGGGATTTCTTGTACTTTTCACAAAATGTGTACCTACTATACTTGAGAAATTTTTTTTCTGCTACTTTTTTATTTCCCCTCCACTACTTTAATATGTTTATCATATTATTATTATTATTATTAGCTAAATAATATTAATGTTATAAATGTTTGATAACATTAACAGGCCAACATTTACTGCAGTACTTCATTCAAGCTAAGTGGTGTTACTGCTTGGCTTTTTTCATGCGACTGTATGCTTTCACTTCAATACATTATTTGCTATTTGTTGTATACATCATTATTTAATAGTCAACAACATTTCAGAGGGAGTACTTTTTACTGTGCTACATTTATTGATGGAAAGGAACATTAACAGGCCCACCTTTACTCCAGCACTGCACTTAAGTACAATTGTGGGGAACCTGAAGTTACTTTACTTGAGTATTGCCATGTTATGTTACTTTAGACTTCCACTCAGCTACATTTATTTTACAGCTTCACTTACTTTCAAGAAGTTAAAGACTGAACTTTTTGTCCTCTTTTTAAAAGCAGCATTTCAGATGCATATGTATTGTTAACAGCCTCACCAAAGAGTGATTTGTTCCCTTCTAAACTTCTCACATGGATTCATTTAAATAAGCGTTCAAATGATCCAACTGCGCACAAGAATCAAAGATGAGAGAAAACGTCCAAAAACTGAAAACAGACTTGTGTTTGTTCTCTTTTTTTTTCTCACATTAATCAACTGACGAGACCTCAGATTTATCTGCTTTCCCTGTCACTAAAAGTGCACATAAAGTATTTCAAACTGGTTTAAACAGTAACATGCTGACACACTGCTTCAATATTAATAATCGAATGATGTCATATGTCATAATATATCAATCAGAGGAAACCATCCAGCACTTTAAATACTTTAACTACATTTTGCTGCTACTATATATGTACTTAAGTGGGATAGTTCATGCAGACTTGCTATATTAGTGTGTTTACTTAAGTAAAGCATCTGAGTACTTTTTCTACCACTGGAAATAAGTCACTGTGTTGAGCAAAATTATTATTTTAGCTATATACTGTGATCAATAGTCTTAATTACCATAAGATATTTTGTTAGTGGTTTTAATGAATAATAATTGAGCAGGAAGCATGAACTATTTGGATTTAGTTTGAAAAAACACACACACACTTACTCATAATTTGTCAAATATGATGAATACATGAATAAATGCTGGTTCTTGATTTAGTATGCAGTTGGAATGTTGGTAAAACAAATCCAGCAATTTGAATAAGTCAGTTAAGAGAAAAATGTGTCATACTTGTTTTCAGTTATTCTGAGGTTTTATGAATGAAATATTAATTAGTAGAAAAAACATGAAGGGAATAACTATTTGCCCCACGTTTTGTTACCTACTTTCTCAGTGTCTGTAGTCGTGGGGATGTGGAGCATATGCAGCCAGACTGTCAAATTTTTACCTTTTATAGATTCTTCAAATCCTCACGACTCGCATATGTTTGGACACAGGAAGGCAGTTAAGTTTTCAGCTGGGTTCCTCATGCTGTGAAGTGACGCATGCTGTCCGAGCCATCAGCAGCCACGATAAAGTTTTAATAACACTAAATACTGCAACAGTCTTCTATTAACAGTCATGCAAAGATTTTGCACGCAAGATGTCACATCTCCTTTATTAGTCATATCTTGCCATAAATGAAGAAGCAAAAAGATAAAACTTTTAAGTTAATAAATAATGTTCAAGTATACATACATCACGTTTTGACTTCTGGTAAATGTCCAGACATAAAACCATTAAGTAGAAATTAAAGGATCTTGTTCAAGAACAGAACGTGAATGGTTGGTTTGTATGAGTTTAACTGTATAGAGCCCACTTTTTCTGCCTTTGAAGTGCTATTAAATGTTTAATGTCAACTACAAAGTAGAGTTGGTGGACATTATATCTACACATTTCATCTGCATTTTACTGTTTAAAGAGAACAAAGTGTGTAGGCGCTTGCTGGAATACATTGTACCGTGTATGAATGGTCTACATGACCGGAGGTAAATTTAAAAAGAAAAAGCGTGTGCGCATCTCAGCAGCTGACAGATTTGCAAATACAACGCTTAGACTGCCAGGTTAGCAATGACAGCCCGGGTGAACTCGTCGCTTGTTGCATAGCCCCCCAGGTCTCCAGTGCGCACCTGTTGCAAACATAAGGACAGCGTGTTACTATATGCACAGCTGCAGCAACACATGTCCACAGTCAGTATCATGGCCTGCATGTTAGAGAGCCTTTGAAAACTACTCGTAGAAGGAACAAACAGTCTTATCAGCAAGATATGCCTTGTTTTTTTGGGATATTTTATTGATGGATGAGTCAACACATTCTTCATGTGTCTACTCATATTACTCTCATACAAGTTTGAAAAAGTCAGTGACTAAATCTGACACAAGAAAAAAGAAGATATGACACTGCTTACACTGATGGCTGTAAACTTTCTCCATAGAGAACTTTCAGATTGTGAGAAGGTAAAAGAATAATAATACAGGATATATTACTTTATTTGGTTTATATTACTTTTGGTCAACAAGTTACCTCATGTGATGTAACTTTAAACTGATACAAAATTAAAAAAAAAAAAAAACATGATAGATGGAGTGGTAATAAATAGAGCAGTGTTACAAGATCTTACATCATCATTACATCCTTGACAACTGTGATGACTTTAACTTGTTCCCTACAGTAAGTCAGTTCAGAACTCAACCTAATACAGATGGTAAGCAGTGCAGGACTAGTTTTCTGGACACTGTGAACATTACCCTGGGAGGTTTCTGTGGACATTAAGAACCTGTCAGAATATTACAAATGTTATTTTGGTATAGCACCAGAAAGTTGTACCACAGTCAATAGAAGAAACACAGATTCTGCATTATGACACTATACAGTAAATGTGGATGAGGTTACAGCACTGCAACGCTGGAGTTTTATTAAAATATTAGGACATTTGTTGATCACAACAGTTATGATATTAGTGGGTCACAATGTGGCAGTGTTATACTGTTGAAAGAGGTACAGTTAGATTCAGTCTGAGAATTGAAGAAATTTAAAAAAAAAAAAAAAAAGTGAATTGTGAGGCAAAATGACATTAGCTGATAGTCGATAAGAGAGTGGTTACTCTACAGACAATTTGTAATGATGTATGATAGCAAAGAGGCAGTTCAGACAGCTAACTTTGCTGAAACTTTCTGATAATTAAGCAAAAAGCAGAAGCACGTGAAAAGAGGTGGGGGGAAAAAAGGTTCTCCTAACATGAGTGAGATGATCAGTTTTAGCAAAGTAAAATGTGAAAAAAGCAAAGAGATGCAAAGGGATGGACTGTAACTACAACGGAAGATTGGTGTCCATGGAGAATGGAAACGGCACATCAGGCTGAATGATTGAAATATTTGAGAGGAAACCTCAGAAGTGTTACATTATTCAGCCAAGAACAACATGTCACTGCTGATTCCACTGGATCTATCAGCAAACCCAGAATGAACCAGAAATATTAGAATGCATCTGATGTCACAACTGTGTGGCCCTGCTGTCATATGGCAGTGAGGGAGAGTTGAGTCTTAACATGCATCCAGTTCATGTTAAGAACAATGTCCAGATTTAAGGAAATGTCAATGAGGGGATGTGACGTAACGTCTTAGTAAACAGGTCGGTGACGCAGGTTTTCCACAACAGCATGCACAAAGTCGCCAGTGGTAGAGTAACCGCCAAGGTCTCGTGTCCGTACCTGGGATGTGCACAAACACACACACATGTAAACACAAAACACACACAACACAGGATAATGGGCACAAGGAGAGGAGGGCGTTAAAGCAGATGGAAGAGGGAGGGGGAGGGCCTTCAGGCAACGTGCAGGAAAAGTCTGCTTTCAGTTGACAAACAGATAATTAATAAGTCACCTCTCAGGGTAGTGCATAAAAGCAAACTAGGGGGAAAAATGGTTGACGGTGTTTGCGTTAGGGTTTGTGTCAGAGTATGTTAATGTCAGCAGGGAGCAGATGCAGAAGTCTGTTAGTCCAAACCAGTTCAATATGGGGGAAAAAAAAGTTGTTCTGCACCTTGGATGTGTCCAAGAATAACAAAATTAAGAGATAAGCTTAACAACGTGGATATGTAGGCAATCAAAGGCTCTCTAACACACTAGCTCAGTCTACAGGTTGTTGATGGGGGTATTTGTAGGTCAAGAACTGCTAACATGACACCTAATGTGCTGGAAACATTGTTGCTATCATACTGATCTCAATGAAAGAGCTCAAAGGCTGGTTGTTCACAGTTGCACCCTGCAAATCAACTCACTGAATGTTTAATTGCATTTATCAAGTGTCTCCAACATTCCGACACTTTGTGTGTATGAGAGTGCAGTTAGTGACCCGCAAAACCAAAGACGAGCATGTTAATTCAGAAACACAAGATGATAGCAATAGACACTTAGTGTACAAGTCCCGTTGGCTTCACTTGTCTATTTTCTTTCTTTCTTTTTTTTTTAAACCACCAGTTGTTATTTTGCCGTACTAGTATTACATGTACCATTCCTTGTGCTGTTAATACTGTTAATGCTGCTGGCGTGTTTTTAGATTCAATGACTGCATGCACCAGTAGCAAACAGAGTAGGCAGGATGAACAAATAACACACCGATACACGCTTACCTTGCCCTGTTTGATGACCCTCTTGACAGCATCTGACACCATGTGGGAGTGGTATTCCAGGCTGCAACACAATACAGTGACAGTTAAAAGGCCAGAAATGTCTTGAACACATGGCCACCTTCAGACAAGCAGCCACTTGAGGCTATTTTCAAAACCTTGAGGGTCATCGTGAATCAGGACAGAAGATGGGGTGGATACTGTGTAATATGTGGTGCATTTGTTATCAAAAAGGCTTCAGAAGTTGACCCACTTGAGGTGCTTGAGCATGTTGGCAGCGCTGAGCAGCATGGCCGTTGGGTTGGCAATGTTCCTCCCAACGGCTTGTGCAAAGGGATGGCGTGCACCCTGAAAGAGATAAAAGATACAAGCAATGAAGAATGACAATACAAGAAAGGGGTTGAGTAACTAACAGTCCATTCATAGCAATACCAAGTTCTCAAAATGTTCCTAATTGGGGTGAGTTAGGATTCCGCGCAACGTTGCATCATCAACATCGGGATCTGTGTTACATGTGCTTTTGTGATCATTTGCTGGTGTGCATTTCACCGTGGACCAGCAGAAACACCACCGTGTCGAAGTCTGTGAGGATCTCTGTCAGCAGGGACAGGACGACCCAACCGTAGTACTGAAGATCATCTGTAGTGACAAGAGTTGGGTCTATGGCTACGACTCAAGAGACCAAACAGCAGTCTTTCAGTGGAAGAGTCGGCAGTCTCCAAAACGGAAGAACACATGCAAGGTCTGGAGTGCACCAAGAGGATACCTGTCTTTTTTTTTTTGATATTCATGCAGTTGAGCCCTGTGAATTCATTCCTCAGAGACTACTGTAGCATCCTGAAGTGTCAGAAGGAAAACATTTGCTTAACCTTAATGTGGCTCGATAGCAAATGGGTGTGCCATCATGAAAAGACAGACAGTGGTTTTTGGCCGCACCAACAGGTTTTGTCACTATGTACCCGCCCTTCTTGTCAGATTTGGCCCCCTGCAACTTCTTCATCGTTCCCAAAATGAAATTTGAGGGCCACCGTTCTGACACAGTTGAGGAGATCCAGCATATGTAGCAGATGGTGCTTGTTGTGCTCACAGAAGAGGAATTTGTGGTGCGTCTTAAGTGCTGCAGGAGCGCCATATCGCTGCACATGGTAATTGCTTCGAAGGGGATGACGGCAAAATTTTAATAAGACACAAGTCTTGCTTTTAAGAAACACAGCCTCAGAACCTTTTGATCACACCTTGTATTTTCTGCATCGGCCCAACTTAATGTGTCTTCTTGTATTATCATCCAAACAAGAATTAATAATTCAAAAACTCGAGAATGGCTGGCTGACTAAGCTTTGAAAAAGATGGGTTTATGGAAACTTACGGTCTCAAAAACAGCATACTCTGCACTGTAGCTTTCTCCAGGAACAACTCCTGCTCCTCCAACCAGCCCTGCTGCCAGGTTATCAATAATGTTACCGTACAGGTTGGGCATCACCAGCACGTCAAACTGGTATGGGTTTTGGACCAGCTGCAGGAAATTAAACCAAAAAGACATGTTTGAACAGGAAATTAAATAGCTAATGAAGTGTATTCAGTCACACAGCAAACAAATATATATTATTATGATCACTTACTATAGGAAAAGTGTAAGGATTCATACTTTTTTTTTTTTCAATCACAGCGAGAGAATCAACAATTAATAAAACCAGAGGAATGAACTGTAAAGCTGGATGTACCTGCATGCAACAGTTATCAATGATTATGTTCTCATATTTGATTTTGGGGTACAGCTGTGCCACCTCTGCACAGCTCTGCAGAAACAGGCCATCACCTAGTTTCCTGTAATAAGACAGTAAAGAAGAACACGTTTTGCTTTAACTGTAAAGCAAATCACATCAACACAATTTTATGAATTAATGGAGGACTATGATTTCAAGATATGCCAGATAAAGACAAAGCGTTTCTTTTAATTCACTCACATGATGTTGGCTTTGTGGACAGCGGTGACCTTGCTCCGCCCCTTCTTGGTGGCATAATCAAAAGCGAATTTGGCAATGCGCCGTGACTTCTCCCTGGTGATGATCTTCAAACATTCGATCACACCTGTCACACTCTAAAAAGCAAGAGGAGGGTAAATACAATTTAATGGAGTCGTTTTTATTAGAGATCGATGCAAGAGAATAATGATACAACACACGCCGTCTACACATTATTCAGCTGTCCAGTTTAATTTCTGGTGGAACGCATGGAGCTCATTTTTCACACATGCGTCACACATATTACAGAAAAGTATTATTCTGACTGCACACGTGTAAGGAAAACAACTTGCCTTTACAGCTCATCATTAAAAGAATTTTATTTGAAGCTGCAGAACTTTGGAGGAGCTTTGTTTTGCACATGCTTTCCATCAAACAAATCCAAAGTTCTACATTTTCCAGAAACCCTGTGCTATGTCCACCCACTGTCATAAACACACCTTAGTAATATCCACTGACATGGTGCTACAGCCCAGTATGTAAGTAGCTGCTTTATATCCTGTAAAAAAAAGTGCCATTTGTCTTTTTCTGTGTCAAATGTGCAGACCTGCATGGACCTATGTGGTATAGATGTAGTATGAATAGAACCGCCTGTGTGTGCACAGTCTGCTTTTAAAGTCCACATGCCAATAACTTTGTCCTCTCTGCATGTGTCTCTGTCTCCAGAGCTGCACGTTTCTGATGTGCAGTCAATGACCCCAACAACCTCCCTGGTGTTTATTGTTCTCCCGTTTGTTGTCTGTCTATTTGTCTCTGCTATCCTCACCTCTCTACCCTCTACTGTCACCCTAACCGATCAAGGCAGACGGCTGCCCTGTCTGAGCCTGGTTCTGCTGGAGGTTTCTTCCTGTAAAAAAAGAGTTTTCCATGGCGCTCCGGTAGCTCAACCGGATGAGACAGCGACCCATGTACAGGGGCTGTAGTCCCTGATGCTGCAGCTCATTTGCTGCATGTCCTTCCCCCACTCTTCTCCCCATGTTTCTCTGTCTCGCTTCACTATCCTATAGAACAAAGGCAAAACAGCCCGGAAAATAATCTGCAAAAAAAAGGAGGTTTCCTTGCCGCTATCACTAGGTGCTTGCTTACATATAAAAGGCAAGTAACTCCACACACTGACTCTTGACAAGGCACACCTGTTAATTCAAAACCATTCCAGGACACTACCTCATGAAGCTGACTGAGAGAACACCAAGAGTGTGCAAAGCTGTCTTGAAAGCAAAAGGGGGCTACTTTGAAAAATCTAAAATATAAAAAAGGTTCTGATTTGTTGAACGTTTTTTTGTTTACAACATAATTTATGTGTTCTTTCAGAGTTCTGATATCTTCAGTATTAATCTACAATGCAGAAAATAATTAAAAACGAATACAAACCATTGAATAGGAAGGTGTGGCCAAACTTTTGACTGGTACTGTAAAGAAAACCGAACTGAACTGCACTTAAGGCTACACACGTTCAAAGACACTGTAACATTTCAGCACCTGTCACAGTGATTTATCTTTGTTTGTTACCCATTTTAATGCTTCAGAAATCTTTCTGTGTGTTCAAGGGAAATCTCCCTCTTCAAAGAGAAAACCAAGTTCCTTTTTAAGTGGCTTTAAAACGTCTGTTCGCCCTCTGACTGCAGTGATGAAGAGCGCTGTTTACCTCGTGCTCCAGGGAGCTGTACTCCCCCTCAGTCTGCTCACGGATGATGACTAGGTCCAGGTTGTTGTGGCGAGTGCTGTAGCCCTGCAGGCTGTTCACATGAACCACATTAGCAAACAGGTCCAGTTTACGCCTGGGGAGTGACAGAGATATAGAGTTATTTCAAAACATCTATGCATACAAATACACAATTGATTTTTCTCACTTTTATTTTTTACATTTACCTCAGTCTCATTTCGTATGAAGCCAGCTCCCCTTTGAACTCCATAGGTGTGTGAATCTTTCCTGCAGAACAAAACATTAAAAAAAAAATTTTTTTAAATGTCAGAGCCATTCATTACTATTTACAACTACACTGTATTTAGGCCATCTACTTCATATATATGTAATAATAGATATTAGTATATATGTTGCAATTAAATGGAGATGCACAATAAGGAAACAACCAAACAATGAAAAATAAAAACCTTTCATGGCCACTTTGTTGTTCTTCATGGAGGTCAACACTTGCTCCAGTTTATCCTCACTGGCCATATTCTGTACTTCACTCAGATGGAACTCCTCAAACTCTACTGGGACATCACCTGCCTTTAGAGAAGGAAAAAAGAAATCAACTTCAGAAGGAGAAAAACCTGAGATCTAACTTAAGAGGTGGCTAAAGGGGAATAAATTTTTCTGTTGTATTATGCTCATATTTTGCATATTTTAGAACATTGCTGGTGTACAGCTGATACACATCCATGAAATGCTAATTACAGATTAACAGCGGAAGATGTTCCAATATATATCTAACCTCTTTCATAAAAAAAATCAGATTTTAAGTGTACATGTGCGTATTTATGAGGTTATTTAGTTACATAACGCTGGCTGATGCTGACTACATTTCCTAATATTTAATAGAAAAAAATAACATAAACCTCCTATTCATTTTTTAAAATTAGAAATAGGGTAACTCAATAAGCCTGGAGTGAGCCAAGAGTTAAAATAGCTTTAGCATGGATGTCTTGTAAAAAGTTTCCATCTAATGTTTTTGTACCATCACTGACTCTAATGTATTGTGGACCCCATGATCTTTAAAAAGCACAAAAGGCAGTAATGATCCCTGCAAAATGTACCTTGAAGACCTCCTTGACAGCAGTCATCAGCTCAGGTCCCACCCCATCTCCTGGTACCATTGTAACCTTGAAGGTGGCATCAGCCCGGGCTGGTGGGGCCTCTGCACTACAGAGACCAGCAGACACACTCAGGGGTCGGGAGGCGAGCTGCTGCCACCGGGGGCCACCAAGACCCTGAAGAATGGGGAAAAAGACACAGTTACACAAAGCACACTCTGGTTTATCCACAGCTGAAACAAGTTTGTTAATTCACTACCGTGTTGGAGAGTGGAAACGATAAGTTGATTGCTCAATTATTTAATGAACAAGTAATTCATTGACAAGTTTTTTAATGATCAATTACATGGGAGTCATTTTTCAACATCTCCAACACTCAACATTTGCTTGGTCCTCCATCTTCAGTGTGAGGATTCCTTGCCTTCCTCTGCTTCCACTAAATTAAATATCTTTTGACTTGTGGGTCATACAGATGAAGACATTTAGTGATGCTACCTTTGACTCTTGGAAACTGTTGGGCACTTTACCATTTTTAGACATTTTATGGACATAACTATTGTTGGCAGATTAATTGATCATGAAAATAACTGCAGTTGCAACTTGGAGTTTGTGTAGAAACAATAGATGTTTTCTGTATTCCATTTCATTCAATAAACAGAGCCCTCAGATTCATCTTCAAAGACATACATGGTGTATTCGGACATTGTGGGAAATGTTGCAAATCAATAAGCAATATTGATGGGGAAAACTATGCAGGAAAACAGTGCAGTCCTTTTTAGTTATTTTGGTTATAAAGAATAAATGAACTAAATCACAGTATGAGTATATTCTATTTATACTACTGTATATACTGTGATAACATGATGAGGATTTAATCCAAATTGCCCAATGCCAGTCACAATTTCTGATGAGATAAAACTAAGGTGGGAAATGATGGGTGTGACTTGTTTCCTATGTAGCTATGATTCACGAAGATCCTGAATAATCAGTCACTGAGCAGTGGGCGAAATGGGAGCTAAACTCTTCAAATGTCTTCTGCCAGAATGACAACTCATCAAGTCCCAACGCCTAAACTAATGAGGAGATGATCTGCACACCTTTAGACTGTTGTAAAGAATAAAGGATGTGACAGGTGAGAAAGGTGGAGATGACTGGACACAGAACCCAAGTAAATAGAGATACACAGACTTCTTATCAGGGCTGCTCCTTCTAAGACCGTTAGCTGAAGGTTAGCCTGGTTTAGCGGGTGGCTCACTCAGGACAGGGAGGTTACCATGTCAGGGTTAACGGAGACAGGCTGCCAGGCTAAGCTACTCTAGCCATCCACAAGGTACAGTTAGTGAGGCTGGCCTGATGGACGAGTACCTGTTGACAACCACAACTAACCGAGATTTGTTTTCTCGTAAACCATCTGATAAAAACAAACAGACACACAGATATCTGTATCACTTCTTAGTACCAGATAAATCGTCTCACTGTTAGCATTAACTTCAGACACAGACTGTACCGGTCAGTGTGTCAGACTGTTTCTTTGACAGCTGGTGCTAAACACGGTGTTTGAGTTTAATAAAAAATAAGCCTTCAAATACAGCAGCTCCTTTTCTACCAACAGATTTACACAATAAGCTGGTAAACATCTTCTCTGCACTCACCTTGACCAATGTTACTAAGCTTCCTCTCAAGGCGGCCGCCATCGTCACAGACATGCAGCAGCTAAGCGGCTTCTTCTGTGGTGCAGCGACGGAGTGAACCGCAGGACAACAGCGCCCCCCGCAGGACGGAGCAGCTGCTGCACGACAGGCAGCCGGAAGTAATGTACAGT